TTTTGCATAAAATGGGTATTGATTCGATGCAGCTCGTCACGGGGAGTCTAATGGTGGTCTTTGTTGTGTGCTACGGGGTCTAGAATTGCTAAAAATTGAGTTTGAAAATTTGACGTCATCAATTTTGAACAGTTTTTTCGCTCTAACTTCGCCAAAAAAGAGGTATCAATCTAAAATGTGGTATGTGGATGGAAGGCGGTAAGGACTATCACATATATTCCGGTTTTTGCGAAATTCAATTTTTTTGGGATTTTTCGATGATTATATCAAAAAAAAATATTTTTTGATTTTTGGGGTGTCAAAATCCAAAAATTTGAAAAATCCGAGATAGCAGTTTTGTAGCCCTGTCAATTCTACAGCTTTTATGTCATTATCATTTTTCTGTATTTGCAAAGCTATAGGCCTGACAGCTCTTCCCGCGAAACCCTTTTTTGGGTCGAAAACGGCAGAACATGACGTCACTCTGACGTCATTTCCGGCCAACCTATCATAGCCTTTGGAAAAAAATTTTTGGTCAAAATGTGTAAAATTGATGTCCTGGAGGGTACTGAAAGTTTGGTGACGATCTGCGCAGCGGTTCTGGATATATATCGAAAAGTCTAGAGGGGGGGGGCAAAAAATAGCCCCCCCCCACCAGGTCGCGGGCTAAAGAAACATATAACATATAAGTGTGATAAGAATACAAAAGTGTCCGTGAAGTTCTAAATGCAATAAACACGCAATAATGCTTTTGGAAACATATAATCAGCCTCGATAGTTGCAACATATTTTGCGATGCTGCATCAGAAGCTAGGACACACGCAATGAGTCGGATACCAAAGGCACAGCTACCTTAGTGGCCAGGGCAAAACGACTTTATCCTGGGCTCCCAGGAGGCAGTCTACCTTTACTCAGGTGTTCACACCACTCACTCACAGCCATGCAGTCAGCCTGCACCCTGTGCCCGCCCTGGACGCTATCGTGCACTGATTGCCGTGTCGGCAGTGTGACCCCTTGTGGCCGGTCCCAGGCGGCGCTGGACGCCGTCCACTGAGGTGCCGCTCTCCCACACCGGGGCGGCAGTTAATGGTCGGTCAGGGCGCCGCCGAGCCAGTCAGAGGTCGCTGCTCCGGTATGGGGAAGCTGCCGGCCGCACCGCCAGGTCGCCGACCCGTCGGAGAGTCATTACGGCACGCCGCTATTACACGAGGTGTTGCAGTAATTACCTATGCACAGTGCTGGCGCCGTGTAGCGGGCGGTGCGTGGAATTGGTAATTATAGGACAAAAAGTAGCGGCAGGGGTCTAAGGAGGAAACACAACTGTGGAGCATTCTTGATCGGTAAATTCGCTAGCCTAGACTTATCAAATGCGTTTGCCATAGCTGAACTTCTGCATGCATTCCTAACTTTATATAAAATTTATGAAGATTCTATTGTAATTTGCCTTTGGGATAAGCTTCCGTTAATAGCTCACCCTTTCGTTTGCTTCAATTCGTAACGATGAGTTGATAGTTCAAAGTGTTCGCACTGTTATGTCGCTAGGCTACACACAGAAAAATATTAACACAGTTAGCGGTGTAATTGCACAGTACATATCTGAGCACTTGAGGAAAGTTAATTTAGTCCCTTCCCCGCTTAAATTACTCGCGCTTCTAAATGAACACCAGGAAGAAGGTAATAGAACACTGTTAGAAGGGTTGGGTGTTTTGCTACATGTAGTACATGTAGTACTTCCTGGTGTTCATTTAGAAGCGCGAGTAATTTAAGCGGGGAAGGGACTAAATTAACTTTCCTCAAGTGCTCAGATATGTACTGTGTAATTACGCCGCTAACGGTGTTAATATTTTTCTGTGTGTAGGCTATTCAATGTCGTAATGCTATATGCTTCTGTCATTAGTGATGACTAATACCTTCCGCCGCGCGCATGCGAACGGGTTCGAAGGAAACTGCAATGGAGAACAAACATATACCACACTGGCGGAGACTGCAACGAAGGAGAGGCACATATCACACTGGAGACTGCAGTGATGGACAAAAACGTACCACCAACAGAGACTTCAATGAAAGATAGACGCAACGAAAGATAGACACATATCGCACATTGGTGAATATTACAACGAAGGGCAGACACAACACTGGTGGAGACTGCAACAAAGGGCAGACCAATAGCACACATTGGTGGAGACTGCAACGAAAGACAGATATATCACAGACGGAGACTGCAGCGCATAATAAATACACATCACCAAAGGAGACTGCAACGAAGGACAAGAACATATCACTAGTGAAGGCTGAAAAGGACGCCCATTTAACTCAAATGGAGACTGCAACGAAGGACAGAAACATGTCACTAGTGAAATTTGCAGCGAAGGACAGACTCTTAGTGGAAACTGCACCGAGACAGATGCATACCACAAACCGGTGGAGGGAGTGCAATGAAGGACAGAAACATATTACTGGCGGAGACTTCAGACTGCAAAGGACACCCGCATCACATATTAGTGGGGACTGCAACAGAGAACCGTAACACAACTCAGTGGAGACTGCAACGGAGGACAGAGACGAAGCACACCTCAGTGGAGACTGCAACGGACACCTCAGTGGAGACTGCAACGGAGGACAGAAACGTAACACACCTCAGTGGAGACTGCAACGGAGGACAGAAACGTAACACACCTCAGTGCAGACTGCAACGGAGGACAGAACCGTAACACACCTCAGTGCAGACTGCAACGGAGGACAGAAACGTAACACACCTCAGTGCAGACTGCAACGGAGGACCGAAACGTAACACATCTCAGTGGAGACTGCAACGGAGGACAGAAACGTAACACACCTCAGTGGAGACTGCAACGGAGGACAGAAACGTAACACACCTCAGTGGAGACTGCAACGGAGGACAGAAACGTAACACACCACAGTGGAGACTGCAACGGAGGACAGAAACGTAACACACCTCAGTGGAGACTGCAACGGAGGACAGAAACGTAACACACCTCAGTGGAGACTGCAACGGAGGACATAAACGTAACACACCTCAGTGGAGACTGCAACGGAGGACAGACACATATCACTGGTGTAGACTGCAACAATGGAGACACATCACACACTAATGGAGACTATAACGAAAGACACACCCATATCACACACTAGGGAGACTTCAACGAAGAACAAACAAACCACTGATGAAGACTGAAACGAAGGACAGACATATCACACTGATGGATACTGCAACGGAGGACGGACACACATCACGAGACTGCAACGAAAGACATAGTTTGCTTGCACAGTGCACACTGGTAGTGACTACATATTTCATTAACGCAGTACCATTTATTTATATGGTACTTCAACATATTATCGAATCTAAACTTCTATAAATATTTCGACCTTTTAAAATGAGTCAGGCTTACTTATACGTGAAGTATTTTTGTTATCTTGAATGTATAAGCTACTTGTCTTACCTACTCCTTACATATCGTCCTACATACTCAAAATATTTCACGCCAAGTCTCATCCCAGTAATCATTCATAGTCATGAATATTCATCGACTCCCATCGCCTATCCTAATCACTGTTTACCTTTCTGCCGGTCAATGACCATAGTACGAAGGGTGGTATTCGATAAGGACCATGGCTATCACTATCTGGCCTGTTGACACTCACCGTCAAGTTCTCGGATTTCGAAAAGAAAGGATCATAGTGCAGCTTACGCGTATCCATGACCTTCAAAGACACTTGACTGTCAAAACAACGGCCCCTATCACTCCAGCCCATGCCACTATCTGTAACGAAAGAAAAATGACCTTTCTCCTGATGAAGGGTTGAGCTGATGGCGTAGTTGGGATGACAAATGGTCCTCGTCAGATGACCGGATGACCGCCCGTCGCCGCTGTGGGTTTTCACTAATGATCTCCCGGGTCGCCGAGTGAGGTACCTAGTAAACAATACTTCGGCGCCCTGGACAATTTTATTGGAAGGCATGGCCTAGGACATAAGTGCTATGGATGGAATAGGTGACTATAATGAGCGGCAAAACGAGTTTGAAACTTTATGTGTGATTAACTGATTATGGCACGAATCTCGTGTTCCACGGATACCTGAGGCTGCCTCTGGTGGGAAAATTGACCTTCGTGGCTTCTGACAGCCTTCGATGAATTACCTGCTGTTTTTGTCTGGGACTTGTGGTTTTATTGGCTCCAAATTTTCCTAAAATGTATTGTCTTTGATTGAAATACAGGGTCTAAATTTACAGACCTTTTGGTTTGCCTTTGATTAAAAGAAGGTCTGCTGAGTCTGTGCTGCACTGCCTCACCGATCTAACTGGACCTGAAATTCCTTGATCGAACGTATAATAAGCCAGGGAGATAATCTCTAATCCCCAGCGCACAGTATCAGAGCCTAGACGGCTCTTGTTTGGCCGAACAATATGGTCTCTGCACCGGACCGTATGGTTCCCGTCGGGCCGAGCCTGCCGCACCAGAAACTTTTTCTCCGGGCCGCTGTCGCACTAACTCGCTCCGGCGCCTTTGACGCCCCTGCACGCAAAAACGCCCGGCCAGCGTGCCAGCAGAGCCGCAGTTCCGTCGGGCGGAGAGGGATTGGACTGGGACCCGCACAGGCGCAGAGGGTCTCCCGTCGTTGGATAAAAATCTGGAAGTCGATGTATGTAGAGGACGGTGGCATTGAGAGCGGGAACGGGTGCCTCTGGCATTCCAACCGTGGTAGGATATCATCTCTGACAGCTCAGCTGATTGTGTTTCACACCGGGATAGTAAGCCGATGGCCAGCCAGAGGCGTTCGATGATAATTTTAGACGAGGGAGAAATACAGCAGAATGTAAACTTTTCAAATTTGATGAATTAATGAAAAAGAGTTGCAGCATAATGTATTATTGGGGAATCTACCTATTTTGAGCACACAGCCGGCTCGTATCCCTCAGAAGCTATTCCTGGGTACGCCCCTGCACCACAGCCCTCCGTTGCCGCTGCACAGGCAGCCTGCCGCTGCCGGTGGGCTCCATCGGCCGGTAGGTGGCGCTGCGCTCGCCGGCGGCGGAGCTCCACTCTTCCTTTCACCGTCGGTAGCGGCGGCAGTCGGCCGAGGATGGTGGTGCGGGTAGGCGTGTGGTCGCTGCGCCGCTGACCGGCGAGTCTCGCGCGCGTCGTCACCCCGGGAGGACGTGTCACGGAGCGTCCGGAGCGGAGCGGAGCTCACCGCCCCGTCGTGACTGGCCCACCGCGCCCCTGTCGAGGGCCAGCGCCGACCGATCCCGGACCCCGTAGCCGACCTTGACTCTCCGTGACGTCATCATGCAGAGCGAGCTGTTCAAACGCCTGGTGATGGTGAGTATGCTCAGGATGAAGCTTGTTTGGTGTGTAACATCGTGCAATAAGAGATTTATTGGTGAAATGTCTCCCAGCAGTTACACCCCGCAATGCAGAGGTACTTCGCAATGTCCGTTCGGAAAGACTTTGTTCCCATTGCATAACACAATCATGCACGACCGTTTCGCAAACTGTCTCAGCCGCAGTTCAGGCGCACGCCGCAATGAACATGTCACGGAAGTGAAATTTCGAACAGTGTTTCGTTGTTTTGTTCTGTTATCTTAACCGTCACTACATGACCGAGCAGTGAACACCCGAGCCTCAACGTTACCGGCTGCCGGTTGCCGGCTGAGTCTGAAGGCAGGCGACCTTGGCAGTTGAGTGCAGCGGACCGAGCGTATAGCCCGTGTGGGTCTGATAAGGTCGGATGTCGCCACATTGGGGACGGGCACACCGACACACCCGCACCCTCGGAATGGGAGCGCCAGCAGCGCTAATGCAGTGGCCTTGGCTAGGTCATGTACCGGTCTAAATACGCATGGGGGAGGGGGAATAGCCCTAGATAACAATAGACTTGTTCAGTTAACATCACGGCTGCTGTTTATCCGACCCAAGCGTACCGGTATACAGAGGTCTTTACATGCCCAAACCGTAGGCACCAGTTCAACTGTCCCTCTTTTTCCTAATCTCTCTTCCTTTCTCGCTCAATCCCTCTTTCTTTACTTTTTCGATTTCTTTTCTGACAATTTACTATATTTTTTAAGTCGTAATACAAGCTCTGAGCACATCATGTGACGCAAGTACTTACAGTACGCATCCTAGCAAGCCGCATAGAATGATTAGAAAGTCCCATTAGTTAGCCGTAGCCAAGTATAGGGCCGTAGCCATATAGGACAGGTATGCATCCCGGTTCCAGGTATTCAGCATCACTTGCTCATTCTTGGACCGATATCAGTATGTTTATCCATAATCAAATGGGTCTAAAATTTTCCTTTCTAGTCTAAAACTCATGTTGCAGAGCCGAATAAGATTTCAAAGGTGCATTGCGATCACACAAATTGTAATCGCGTACCTCGTTCGGCTTATTTGGCATAGATGCAGGAAGCTTCTTCTATGTTGTTTTCTAAGATAACAAAGTATATACCGACGGTGATACGGTAATTGCGTCTCGATATGGAGACTGCAACGACAGACAGCGTCCCTCATTGGAGACTGCAGTTCCGCACAAGACCATACCACCATGCTCCGCCCGACATCCTTATGGTCAATATCGTAATGTCTTTTGTTGATCGGAAGCTTGAAAGAGCCCCTTCGTGTCACAGTGATGCTACACGAATCGTGTTGCGCTAATGATGAATGTATACAGAACGTAAAATGTGTTTGGAACTTGATTGAATGCGCAATTTTCGTGTAGCACGCTACACAAGCTACACATTACACAAGCTATCGAAAATGCAAGCTACATACACGTGCTGGGGACGGAAAACTGTTTTGACGTGGGTGACTGTTATGTCTGTCACAGCTTTGACTATCAAAAATCAGTTGAAGTGGCAAGGCCTATAAATACAACATGGCTTTACATTTGTATTCGGTGCTTTCCGATTCCAATCGTTTCATTCACAAAAATTGGTGAATGTAACAGGTAATATAAACTTTGGGGCTAAATCCACACCAATTACGTTTATTGCCGGAACGAATCCCAGAAATCCAGCGACCATTGTCGGCACAAGCCCAAATCGAGCGACCTTGGCCACTGACTGGCCTACAGTATTGTTCGCTGTGTTATTCCATGGTGGCTGGCTTCCTTTATGACCGGTCGTTCGCATCCGGCGATTGGACAGTTCTCGGCGTCGGACAGAGCTCTGCCGGAGCGGACTCTGCGGGGTCACACCGGGTCAGACGGGTCACGGACGCTCCCATGACTCGGCGCGGCGGCGATGACGCCTGATGACGGCACCTCCGTCAGCAGCCGTGGGAGCAGGGCGGGTCACGACCGGCGGCGGCTGACGGCCCGTCCCGCTCAGGGTGACTGACCGGACCCATGAGAGAGGCGTCAGCCCACCGTCAGCGCAGTCAGGGCCGGCTATTGAAACGCCAGAGGATGAATCCAAACCCAGTGTTTACCCGGAGGATCAGCGATGGAGTCTGGGCGCCTATCATCAATCCCAAATACCTCCTATGACTGATGATCTGCTTTTCCTACCGCCCTGCCTGGCCCTTCATCACTGGTCCCAAACTGCCCGTCAGCCTCCACTCGACAGTCATCCCGTGTCCCCTGGGCTCTCCCAGTAACGGTAGGGGAAGTTGGGGCAATGCCGGAGTTGGGGCAAAGCCGAAATTCGAGATATTTCGAAAACCGTAAGACATGGATGCCACCTGTCAGTGATGCTCTGAAGCTTAAGTGACTACAATTATCGCATGTTTGTTACGAGTCGTCATTCGGAATACTTCGACTGTGAGGGCGCCAAGAGCGTTTTCAAGGTACGTTTTTCTTGTACTACATGCGCCTTTGAAGCTGCACTTTTTACTCATTATGCTACCGTTTGTCTGGCCAATTCGGTCAAGTAATCTTTAGCATGTCTTCGCATAAGTGTGCTGTCTATTTGAAATTTATACAGCACGTTGAAAAGTTATGGGCCTGCAAATGAAAGTATGGCTGGCTGGGGTAATGCCGAAAACGTGCGATTACGCACGTGTTAAAAGCACGCTACGTGGACTTTACTGCTGTAGAATAGCAACGCGTATTTTTAGTCACACAAATTACACTTTCAACCGACACAACGGCATGTTACCTATAAGGAATGATTTACCTGGCATTTTCTTATTATATCACACAATTATAACTTCCAGTGTGCACCGCGTCCTCAAGCTCTTGAAACGTGTGTCAGCTTTGATGAATTCTGGATAAAGTTTGAGATAAAATGGCAAAACATCAATGTCGGCATTCCCCGTAGATCATTTCTCCCATTTTCGGCTTTCCCCGCAGTCCGGGGCAACGCCGAAAAAGTCACTTCTTTGATATTTTTAGTTTGTGCGCTTAACGGTATGCGAATTCATCAAATGCGCCTGGTATGTTTGAAAGGCAAAAGACTGACCTCTCGAATGACGCCAACAAGAATAGCGTATGTTGTCTACCTTGCGTGCTACGGGCGTCAGAAAAAAAGTCTTCGGCGTTCCCCCAACTTCCCCTACTGCCCGGCCGATAGGCGTCTCACGCAGCCTCCTCTGTCGACAGGTCGTTGCCGCCGCGGCCGTCACCACAGCGCAGAAACGTAAGTCAGCTCCCGTTTCATCTCAACTTCTTCTGTTGGCCGCAGTGGACCCGTAAATGGGCGAGGGAGTGGGGACAGCTGCGCTCGCTTCCGGAGAGTGACGCGTAAATAACGGAATAACGACCGGTGCTTGCCGGTATCTCTGAGAGAATCCCATGCTTCGTCCATAAAGACTAGATCATCTTCTTTTAATTATGGCTGACCTGTTCGCATTATTGGATTAATTTCACCTCCATTACAGTCAAGTGTTCACTACATGCACCAATTAAATGCAGATCAAAGAAAAGGTCCGTCGTTGGGATAGCAAATGGAAGTAGGCATTTATCTTGTAAAAAGACAAGAAAGTAAGTGCCCTTCAGACAACACGGGTTCAAGAAAACTTATGTTGTTTCAAACAGTTTCAATCTCTTCACCGGGTTGTCGTTTTCAGCGCTCCTGGCGGCAAAAAGTCCAGTCAGCGATGTCCGGATCGAGTGCAACAGCAACGACATCGTCGTCTCCATCTTCACCAGCAGCGCCTTCAACGGCATGATCTACCCGAAGGGTCTCTCCAAGAACTCGACGTGCATGACCGAGTATTCATCCATCACGGCACCGGTCAAATACCGGCTGCCACTGCGCAGCTGCAACACGATGAGCCTGGAAGAGGTAAGGACCGGGCGAGGACTTATTCTGGGAAAGCGTTATCCTGGAATTCCACAGCGTAGTCCCAGGCTGATGGCACAAAAAGACGTTCATATGAGCCTTTGTTATCTTTCTTATATTTTTCATATATTTATCAAGCCATGGACGATTAACCATGAGTTTCTACCACTGCGGTGTGCCGTCAGTGGGAAGGTCTACGGACACTTGTAATGGGGTATCGCTGGTCCGCCCACTTTGACAGGTTATTAGCTTCGAGCTTCCCAATAAAACATCATTATGAGTTGTTTCTGAATGCCCTTAGTCGCTCACGCAGTTCGGCAGGCGGTTATTAGAGGACGGTCGGGCGTGGGACTCGTGTGAATGGCCGGTTCATCGGCACACGTTTCGCGGAATATACAACAGTGGTGGGAAATGGAGGCATTGAAATGACGAACTTCGGTCCCGGCTCTGTGAGCATTCCCAAGCCAAAATGGTTGAAGCCCTTGGCCGTGTCATGAGAAAGCATAAGCTGTTTGTTTACCTCTTTAACAAGTTCCCACGAACAAATTTACTGAACATGTTTTCTGACACAGGCCGAATAGGACTCGAAGCATTCCAAACTATTGCAGATATTGATGATCTCCATTCGGTAAGCATTAAGCAAGTTAAATGAAAACGGTGCACCAGTGTTTCAGAGGCGTATCATTAACGTTACATTCAACTAGCTAAGAAACAATTTTTAGTCCTATTTTATGGTCAATTGTGATAAGAGCTAGCCAGTTTCAACTTATTTGAAATTTATCAAAATGCATAATGCCTAGCACAATTCCATCGACCACTTCGCTATCATTTAGCTCTCGTCGTTTAATGCCGCCAAATGGAAAAGTCACGTCCCCCGATTACCTCTGTCGTCTCGGTGAACTCCAAACCGCGGGCTTTTGACCGGCCGATTCCGGCAAAAAGGGGTCGTTCTGTGGCTGAGCGGGTGACAAAAAGCCCCGATGGCGGGCCGGTGCCCCTGACCGCCGCCAGCCAAGGTCGTGCCGTGGAACCATGCTGTGTGGGGAGAGAGAGCGCTCCCAGGCAGAGACCCCGGGCCGTGCCGCCGCGGCTGCGGTCACGGTCAGCCGCGGCCGGTAACATTGAACTTGGCACAGAGCTAGGGTGGTGGTATGTAGTGCAGACCACCGCGGAGAGGTGGGAGCTTGGAGCTCGTGTAAACCAAAACAAACTGCTGGGTCACTGCAGGAGGAGAACGGACAATGTCGTTAGCAAAACACATATTCAGGTTACGTATTCAGGCTTGTGAATTTAAATAGTTCGGCTCGAACAATTCGATCCAACTCAGTTTACCTTTTCACGGAAGACAATTATAGCCATTTTTGAACAGCATCTAAGGAGCCTATCGTTCACCAGTTATATTGTGCGCCTGTTCAATCAATGATCATTTAATCATTCTTTATTTGATTTCAATTAGTCATGACTCAAGAATAAAGCCATTCAACACTTTTTGGTACGGGAGGTCAACTGAACATTTTCTATCTGTTGCACTATCGCACACTCCACCCTGAAGCCCGTTCATTGCCAGTGGTGCTCCTCAGCGCACGAAGCACACATTCTTATCTACCGGCTCATCTTTTCCAGCATATTTAACCTGGGCACACCCCGACCTAGGCTTTTACGCCCTGCTGATAATATTATCGCCGACCTTATCTAACATAGCACACGTGCCGTGAAGGGCGAGCGGGGTGTTTGGTGTTAGGTGCTTGTGCCGTGTTGCGGTCCTGCTAGCTCAGACCAGGCGTTGAAGTCACTCTCTCAAGTGCTCCGTTTCCTTTCTTGTGTTCCGTCGCACTTTCTCATACAACGGACTTATTACCATATTCGAATATGCTGCTTCAGCGATTACAAACGAATAATGTTTTGATCTGAGATGAAAAGAGTATCATAAGGCTCAAATTTGCTGTCTTTTTCATTCTTACCTAATATAATCCAAAGCCATAGTTTCTTTCCTCACTATCGCGATAAAAGAGACTTGCCAAACGGCCACGCTCCACAAGAGTTTGTGTTCCCAGCAGTCCCTTGTTTTGGTCTTATTTTCCCGGCATTCCTTTCAGATTGGGTCTAAGTCATGAATAAACAGGAGTTGTTTGCACAGTGCGGTGCGCCCCGTAGGTTCATTGCCCAGTGGGCGCGCTCCAGTCGACCCGAATCAGTCAACACCAGCACTCGGCGCAAACGACCGCCTCTCTCTAAAACACACTTCCCCTCAGCCGCACAGTGCCAAGGCCCAAGAGGATGGTGCCTTTCCGAAATACTAGCCTCAGCTAAAAATGGAGAGGACAGGCAAGCGAACTTTATCATCCGTTTGATTACTAGTACAAGACATTGCGTGCTAGTGTTTGAATGAAGATGTGAAGAATCTGTTATCTGACATTTTGCACGACTGATGTTTCCTTCCACAGGACCAGGACATCGAGTACTTCAACACAATCGTGGTGCAGCCGCACCGGAAGCTGGTTACAAACCAGGGCCGCGGCTTCCACATTCGCTGCAAGTACCAGACCCGCGAGAAGGCCGTCAACGCCAACTTCGACGTCAGGTAGGGAGACTGGTGGTTAACCATGCATGCAACTAGCTGTAAGATACGGATCGGGTGCTTTTGACGTGACAGAGCATAATCATTGGCGACTTAATGATTAATGCAGTGTATTATAAAGTTTAAGAACACATACAGCTGATATTGATTAGACGAGAAACAGAAGAAAACATTCAGTCATCCCGGTGCTACCTACAGGGTGTAACGAAATTATCCGGACATGTTTCTTCGCGCTGTAATTAAGAAGCAAGACATTAAGATATTTTCCCTTTTGAATTATTATATAGCCACCTTTCATAAGAGCGCAGGTACACATTTTTGGAGCATTCCAGCCACTGGATTTTCCAGCACAGTGGGTTTCATATAGATTAGCGCCTTACTAACCTGTGCCCGCAGTTGGGCGGCGCTGGTGGCGGGTGTCCCCTCATTCATCTCCTGATGGACAATAGTCCGTAATATATCGATGGAATTGCATGGGAACTATTTCCAAGCCATAGCCCTTTAGCCCAGAAGAACAAAAAGGTCCTCTCGGCATCACTTCTCATTCTGCTAGGGACTTGAAGGTGGTGCGCCGCCCCGTATGAAGACTGCGCGGCTTGAATCAGGCATCGGTACACGTTCAGAAACCGAGCCATCCTGTACCGTCTGGTTGAGTGGCTCCAACCAATCGCTAGCCAGGATGTTGCGCCGGTAATACTCGTCACTGATAGTGGTTTTCTGTGTCGTCATGAACAGCTTGAATATTACACAGCAGCTGAACATGCTCCAGGTCTGGATTTTGGCCGGATATTTGACGCCGGCGACGGCCGGCACATTCGAGCTGCTGGCAGCCCACACATGGCCGATTTGACGGTTCAACGGGTATCGCAGCTCGAACAGCTTCCCATCCGACCAGGTCACCTCATTCGTGTCTTCCTTCGACCAATGGACACGCCCTGGCCTGAAGCCAAAGGTGGAGTACTGGTTGTTTTTCCGTCAATTTCATTGTCTTCTCCAGTTTGAAGGGCAGTAAAACCAAGCTAAAGGGCGGGTAACGGTGAGTCATGATGTGGGACCTCTTATTATCTGCCTTGGTAAGAATTCGAGTCAGTATGCGGATTAATTGGTGCCGTTTCCTTGTCGCTATCTTGACAACTCTCCTCACCACTTGGCAAAGGGCGCCTTTTGCGATCGAGGCCAGGCTGAGTCTGCCACCAAGTCCCAGCTTATTACGCCTCAGGCAGATGTGCTACTGGCTGCTGCTGATGTCCAGCTGCTGACAGACCAGCTTCTGGCTCATGCCACCATGCCACCAACACGTAGCCTTACTACGAAACGAGAGACTGTACTCCTTTCTCTCCACTGCCTTAAACGAAAACTATCAAATGAACCCGTCGGCGACTCGACTCTGACTCAGAGCAAGAGTCATTTCGCAAAGTCAGGTCACTGCTGAGTTGAGAGCAGATACCAGAGGTATGCATTCATCCAATTTTCCAGCTTCTGACATTAAAAGAGAAACTGTGCGAGCAGATATGGCGAAAAAATAGATGTCCGGATAATTTCGTTACACCCTGTAAGATCAAACCATTGTGTCATGCAGCTTTATACTTGACTTTCAGCATGAACATGACCTGAGTAGGACCGTAAGTGACCTTTCCATAGAGACGACCGACACAACCGAGCCTCCTTGAGGTCCGTTAGCTGCCTGACCGCATGACACTGCGGTGTTTCTTCCCGCTCTGATACACTACCACGCAGCCCTGAGACGGAAACGGCACTCGAACCGGCCTCGGAGGTGTGCGATGTATTGTTGTCTGCACCGGAACAGCGGCCGGCGTGGCGCTGACGGGAAACTGTACCACTACCCGACACAGGGCACCGTGACAATGTACACGGCGAGTAACAGTAACACAGTCTCAACACACACAGGTGCACCGCAAAGTTTAACAGTAGCAACACAATGCTAACATGACTAGACAAAGTTGACATCATAATGAAACTCAGTGCCTCAGACATTAACTGTCTACATACCTGCAAACTTCGAGCCAGTAGCATGTTACCAAAGTCACCGTCAGTCTTACTCGCTGACATCGTACTTGCGTGGCACTCACGGAAGGATCTACGAAATCTGACCTGCTGAACCAGTTGGTATTGTATCGCAACCAGAACTGGCTACTGCGACCGTCCACTGCGACAGGAGGTGGTCAGACGACCGGGACTAACAGTGACAGAACTTGTTTCCCAATCCTCCCGATGGTCCCGACCCGCCGGTCATGGCAGTTGCGACATGTCTCCACGGCTTGATACTAACGCTGATGACAACAGCAGTTGCTCATGGAATAGTAATTCGGTCTGGTAATTAGTGACTTTGTAAACGAACACAACTGAGTTAGTAGAAAACTGTTATTTAAATTAACATCGACGACCAAAGAAAATAATTTATGCTTAAAAAGTGGGCATGATGACCATGGACCTGACCATGACTTTAACATTCCATTACACATATTATTTACCAAATTTGTATTTTAATCTACCTACCCAGATTTTTTTCATTATTGGCGTTAAATAATTTGGAAGTTACACGAGCAAACTTCACTTTTGCTATTCCCGTCGAACTTTGCAATAAAATGTTTTTCTTCTTTTGCCATTCTTCTTGATTAATTTAACTGCCGTGCTTTACGTCCGAGTTGAGCCTCGAACTAAGTGCTCGATTTGGTTTATTACTTCCGTATTTCACCCAAAACATAAACGTCTATCCGTCGATTTATCGCCTGAATGAACTATAAAGGCGTCGAAGCACCGCATATCGCAGTGTAACACCGCCGCAACGCAAAGGTAGACATTAGACAGGTCATTCGTTTTATTTCCTGTCAAAGAAGACTGGTCACCTTAGCTTACATCCCTCTCTTGTCCATACCAGATGAAGCTTTATCCACGCCCCTCTGGTGTCCCAGTACACGTGTGGTTTGTCTCACTCGGTCTCTGTCACGCAGTTACACTCGAGATGTAAGTACTTTTGAGACCAACGCCGCAGACTGACAGTCTGACAAACCACACCAGCGTATCTGTGTCTGGCGGACTGGGTCAGGGGTGGCCAAGGACCGGTTATTGGACCACCTATCACAGGATCACCGGACCACCAATCAGTGATTCCCCACAGTCACTGATCAGCAGACAGGTCACACGGCGCGGCGGACCGGCCACGCCGCGCGGCTGACCGGGCAGTGACCCCGCCCGGCGCGGCGGCCGCCGCACAGCCGCGCTCCCGCTCGCGCACAAACCCGCTCATTCAGAACTTGCAGCCGCGCATGAGACGCATAGACCACTGCAAAAACCGCTTTTATACTGCAAGCTCACCTGAAAGGACTTGCAGTCATGACCATTCCGTACGCATTTAATCCATCCAATCGCGCTCATTCAGAGCTAGACTCCTTACATCAGGTCTAAGCAGGGCGGCGGCCCAGGCTAACGCAGGTTCGCTGGGCCAGGGGTGGGACCAGAGGGCGCGCAGGGAAGGTGCTCAAAGCCATAGGGCGTGCATAGATAGTGTGCAGATACGGCCCGCCGGAAACGAACGGGCGGAGACACACGCACAGGCGAGGGCTGGTGGGCTAAAGAAGTTCGCCGGGTTTTTATTGTAACGGGACTTCGATAAAACGTTATCAAAACCATCATCAGATTGTTATCTAAATTTATACCTAAATCGTGCACCTATGCAACGGATTTAGGAACAGCTTTGAGTAACGTCAATCCAACTCTATGAATCCGTTCACAGAAACAATGAAAAAATATAAAAACTTTGTTGAATTTGAAATAAAGTTCATACACTTATTTCTCTTAAATTCCTATTATCTGATTGCAAAATCATTGCAGACTCCACTGGCTCCAACGCGCAACATTAGTTGTGGCTTGTGTTTGACCAAGAAAGACGGCTCTAACTTAATTGTTACAAGCATTACACTTCGTAGACCTGATTTCATCATCTCGTTAATATTATACCATCCTGTTGATGGGGCACCGGCCAGGCGATGGCACCGAACCAGGCATACCGTCAGCACACGTAAAACATTCTTAGTCATTCAGCACACGCAAGCGGCCAGCGCGTTGCCAAATCGGTCATCGGGCCATTGAATGACGACGGCCGGCTGCCGGAGACGGGAGAGGGGTGGGGGTGGAAGCTCTGATGCAAGCACCCGCACGTTTGCAGTCGATCGGAACATCTGTCTTCAAGGCCAAACCCAGCACCCACTGACCTGACCTGCCACCGCTATGACGACCATCTGACCTGACTTGACCTGACGTGACCTTTGTTTCCCAGCGACGAGCTACCGCAGCTGCGAGAGGGCGCGAGGTATGTGAAGCCGCCGCCGCCACCGGTGGTGCAGCACGCATGTTGGTCGTGACTAACCACTAACGCCACAGAGCTGGCTGTGGCCCGTGCGGTGTTCCAGAGAGGCTGCGGTTCGGACCACCCGCCGGGGCGGAGTCGTGTCGGCCGCTAACCCCGTCAACCGACCGATACATGTGTGTGTGTTGCCTGCTCTCTTCTTGTTCTCTGTTATTTATGTTGTCGAAGTTTCTCTGTGTGCACTTTCTGTTGTGTTCGACACAGATCCCTGCAGCCCGGTAGATTCGTCCGACGAATTCATTCTAGTCTTCTACCACGCCGATAGCTGCTGCAAATTTGCGTGACTGCTGTGTGCAGTCCACCCTTGTCTGACCCTTCCGATGGTCCTCGATAGTCCTGTCAGGGTGCCCGTATACGGCAGCGTCCGTCCCGAGAGGACAGCTCGGGCCGAGGTCGGTGTGTGACGACACCGCCCTGCTCGCCAGTCAAGGTCGCCTCTGTAGGCTGACGTGCATCTGCACCGGCCGGTCGGTCTTACAGAAAAACTCGCAACTCCGCTCTAGATGCGACAATTATCTGTGTTTGTTTTAGGAGTGACGTGCTTAGTGCGTTAGCAGCCGGGGCTGAAAAGATCAGGTGTGATCAGCTGATTCAAACCACGGCATTCGGCAAATATGCAAGCCGTGCAACCGGCTGGTCTCTGACCTTGACCCAAAATCGGCTCTGAGGGGGCTCACGAGCTGACCACGAGCGCAGAAGCTGACCACTTCCTTGAGGCATCGCTATACCGCCGGAATAACTGCGAAGAACGATTTACAGCAAGCTTCAAGTAGAAATTACGAAACCCTGATGGTGGTTTTTACTTTCCATCACGTTTAACGTGACGTCAGTGTGGTTCAATAAGATTAGATGGCCTTTGGTATGTATAGGTATGTAACGAACACAGTCCAGTTGACAGATCGAACGGCGTCTGTGATTTTCAAAAACGCGTTTCGATAAAATTCTCAATTCGTTTGATTAAAATAAACATCTTCGAAATTGTAAAAGCCTTTTGTTTCCTTCCCTGATGAGGGAACATTATGTGGACAAACAAAACAACTTTCCGGAGATAATTGATATCTACCCAGACCTTTAGAAGAGTGGCTTTAATCCACACCTCGCGCACTACTGTAACCTGACTTAGCCGCTCTGTCCAAGATTACTTTACTACTCGCTCTGTCGGTCAGGCGTCACTAATCTACTCATGAAAATAACCCGCACACAGTCTAGCCTTAGATATTTATCACAGTGCTCGTTTGATCACCATTTATTGTTCTAACGGTTCGGTATTAATCGCCTCGTCTCTGGGCGTTGCTGACGGCAGCACCCGACGTCCAACAGCCGCGATAACTCGTTGTTGCACGTCTTCTTCTGTGACCTGACGCCCGGTTTAGCTATCCTGGGCACGTCTGTCAAGACAGCCTCAGATTCAGATTCACTTTCAGAATCACATTCGGACCCCCGTAGATTTTCATAAAAACTGGTCCATAGGTACAGTTTTGGACGCTGATTCCAATGGTGAAGTCTGTTTTTCGCCACATATTATACTTTGGCCCCTAGAGGCATTCAAAGTTTTTTTGGGGCGAAGGGGGACCCCTTTAGATTTTCATAAAAACTGGTCCATGTGTACAGTTTTGGACGCTGATTCCAACGGTGAAGTCTGTTTTTCGCCACATATTATACTTTGGCCCCTAGACGCATTCAAAGTTTTTTGGGAGAAGGGGGACCCCCTTGGATTTTCATAAAAACTGGTCCATGTGTACAGTTTTGGACGCTGATTCCAATGGTGAAGTCTGTTTTTCGCCACATATTATACTTTGGCCCCTAAAGGCATTCAAAGTTTTTTGGGGCGAAGGGGGACCCCCTTAGATTTTCATAAAAACTGGTCCATGGGTACAGTTTTGGACGCTGATTCCAATGCTGAAGTCTGTTTTTCGCCACATATTATACTTTGGCCCCTAGAGACATTTAAAGTTTTTTTGGGGCGAAGGGTGGCTTAGATTTTAGATTTTCATGAAAACTGGTCCATGTGTACAGTTTTGGACGCTGATTCCAACGGTGAAGTCTGTTTTTCGCCACATATTATACTTTGGCCCCTAGAGGCATTCAAAGTTTTTTTTGGGGAAGGGGGACCCCCTTAGATTTTCATAAAAACTGGTCCATGTGTACAGTTTTGGACGCTGATTCCCATAGTGAAGTCTGTTTTTCGCCACATATTATACTTTGGCCCCTAGGGCATTCAGATTCACTTTCAGAATCACATTCGGACCCCCTTAGATTTTCATAAAAACTGGTCCATGGGTACAGTTTTGGACGCTGATTCCAATGGTGAAGTCTGTTTTTCGCCACATATTATACTTTTGCCCCTAGAGGCATTCAAATTTTTTTGGGGCGAAGGGGGACCCCTTAGATTTTCATAAAAACTGGTCTATGTGTACAGTTTTGGACGCTGATTCCAACGGTGAAGTCTGTTTTTCGCCACATATTATACTTTAGCCCCTAGAGGCATTCAAAGTTTGTTTTGGGGGAAGGGGGACCCCCTTAGATTTTCATAAAAACTGGTCCATGTGTACAGTTTTGGACGCTGATTCCAATGGTGAAGTCTGTTTTTCGCCACATATTATACTTTGGCCCCTAGAGGCATTCAAAGTTTTTTGGGGCGAAGGGGGACCCCCTTAGATTTTCATAAAAACTGGTCCATGGGTACAGTTTTGGACGCTGATTCCAATGGTGAAGTCTGTTTTTCGCCACATATTATACTTTGGCCCCTAGAGACATTTAAAGTTTTTTTGGGGCGAAGGGGGACCCCCTTAGATTTTCATGAAAACTGGTCCACGTGTACAGTTTTGGACGCTGATTCCAACGGTGAAGTCTGTTTTTCGCCACATATTATACTTTGGCCCCTAGAGGCATTCAAAGTTTTTTTGGGGGAAGGGGGACCCCCTTAGATTTTCATAAAAACTGGTCCATGTGTACAGTTTTGGACGCTGATTCCCATGGTGAAGTCTGTTTTTCGCCACATATTATACTTTGGCCCCTAGGGCATTCAGATTCACTTTCAGAATCACATTCGGACCCCCTTAGATTTTCATAAAAACTGGTCCATGGGTACAGTTTTGGACGCTGATTCCAATGGTGAAGTCTGTTTTTCGCCACATATTATACTTTGGCCCCTAGAGGCATTCAAAGTTTTTTGGGGCGAAGGGGGACCCCCTTAGATTTTCATAAAAACTGGTCCATGGGTACAGTTTTGGACGCTGATTCCAATGGTGATGTCTGTTTTTCGCCACATATTATACTTTGGCCCCTAGAGACATTCAAAGTTTTTTTGGGGCGAAGGGGGACCCCCTTAGATTTTCATAAAAACTGGTCCATGTGTAGAGTTTTGGACGCTCATTCCAACGGTGAAGTCTGTTTTTCGCCACATATTATACTTTGGCCCCTAGAGGCATTCAAAGTTTTTTGGGGGAAGGGAGGACCCCCTTAGATTTTCATAAAAACTGGTCCATGTGTACAGTTTTGGACGCTGATTCCAATGGTGATGTCTGTTTTTCGCCACATATTATACTTTGGCCCCTAGAGACATTCAAAGTTTTTTGGGGCGAGGGGGGACCCCCTTAGATTTTCATAAAAACTGGTCCATGTGTACAGTTTTGGACGCTGATTCCAACGGTGAAGTCTGTTTTTCGCCACATATTATACTTTGGCCCCTAGAGGCATTCAAAGTTTTTTGGCGGAAGGGGGACCCCCTTAGATTTTCATAAAAACTGGTCCATGTGTACAGTTTTGGACGCTGATTCCAACGGTGAAGTCTGTTTTTCGCCACATATTATACTTTGGCCCCTAGAGGCATTCAAAGTTTTTTGGGGAAGGGGGACCCCCTTGGATTTTCATTAAAACTGGTCCATTGGTACAGTTTTGGACGCTGATTCCAATGGTGAAGTCTGTTTTTCGCCACATATTATACTTTGGCCCCTAGAGGCATTCAAAATTTTTTGGGGCGAAGGGGGACCCCCTTAGATTTTCATAAAAACTGGTCCATGGGTCCAGTTTTAGACGCTGATTCCAATGGTGAAGTCTGTTTTTTGCCACATATTATACTTTGGCCCCTAGAGACATTCAAAGTTTTTTTTTGGGCGAAGGGGGACCCCCTTAGATTTTCATGGCCTCTAGGGGCCAAAGTATAATATGTGGCGAAAAACAGACTTCACCGTTGGAATCAGCGTCCAAAACTGTACCAATTGACCAGTTTTAATGAAAATCCAAGGGGGTCCCCCTTCGCCCCAAAAAAACTTTGAATGCCTCTAGGGGCCAAAGTATAATATGTGGCGAAAAACAGACTTCACCATTGGAATCAGCGTCCAAAACTGTACCTATGGACCAGTTTTTATGAAAATCTACGGGGGTCCGAATGTGATTCTGAAAGTGAATCTGAATCTGAGGCTGTCTTGACAGACGTATCCTGGGCTCCCTGTCAAGCAGCACACCCAGCTGATTTCTACTTCTTCTCAGTGTTTCTGTTTAAAAAAAAAAAAAATGTTGGTATGGTATCCATTGAGTCCAAAACTTTTCACAGCTAGCTTCATCTTGTCCTTCAGTCATTTCCATGACGCAAGAAGGCAACAAAACAGAACTACGTTCATTTGTGGACCAATAAGATGCACCCCTAGAAGTTTCACCATATCTATCAAGTGATGGCATCGTTGGGGAGTTTATTTCCATCCTTGCACGCTTGCATGCATGCATCGCAATGCAGCGTCGCAGTAGCATTTCTCTGGCCTACAACTTCATAAGTGACGTCATCTTTTTCTCCACCGCCGATGGACATCACCTTTTCTCCACATCTGCTGACGTCATCACCACCTATATGACCTCATCTCTGACGTCACTCTGTTCTCCCTTTGTATTACAGCCAGCTGGGAACCACTCCGCTGACGGCCACGGCACCCATGCCCACCTGCACGATGCGTATCTACTCAAACACCGTGGACAAGACGGTGGCGGAGAATGTGAAGATCGGCGACCCCCTGACGCTGGATATCTCCATCGATGAGCAGGACATCTACGGCCTGAAGGCAGTCGACTGTATCGTCCGCGATGGCCTCGGATGGGGAGAGCAGCCGCTCATCAACTCGGAGGGGTGAGTACCGCAGGGGGCTGGGAGCGGAGGAGGGTCATATCAGATCTCTGAGATCTGATCTCTCTGAGATCTGACCCAGCTCACCTCCATGGGATGACTGCTTGGTGCGATTTAGATAGATTGAAAGAGTGCAGGAATATCTTGAATGCAAGTTATCATTTGCGGCCTATTTTAGGCTTTCAGCGAAGCATTGGGAACTTGTGAGCTTTGCTAATTAGGAATTAGCTGGTAATCAATTAACATAATTAGTCTTGGAGTGAGCCGCGTTAAGTATGCAGAGCCTATCCGACAAGCTCGCTACTCTTACACACTACACAGTGCCCTCACACATTTCGAACAGAGCGAACCGTCCACTGCACAGCCGCGCTCCCCACCCCGCGGGCCTGACGTGCGGGACAGGGGAGAAGGTGCGAGTTGGGATGGTTGGCCGCTCCTCCCTGGCCAGTTATTTACTGCAGAAGGGTGGCAGGGCGGGCGCCCGGGCTCCCTTCTCGGCAAGTTCTGGGAACGGCGTCTGATAGGCAGCGGCTGCGTGCCTCTGTAGCTAAGTAGCTACATCTTAGATAGGGCGGAGCACCCTAACTGCACGACAGAAGATCCCTGGCCGATCTCAGACGGCGGAGCCGGGCGGTACCAGGGCGTGAACCTCTCATCAAACACGCTAGCATTCTTTGGATCTCCCGAATCCGCCTCGGTAGGGTGGCGCGTGCTGGTCGGACCGGCAATCACTTATTGCAAATAGAGACGACTGGACTGACAAGATGGAATCGTGCGCTGCCAATCACGATCCTATCTGTCACAATGTCCTGCAGGGTCTTACACGTGTCTCTGCACTCAGGTGTGCCATTTTCAGCTAGATTATTTTTCCGAACTAGAACTGGGTCTGATTGTCTGTTATCGCGATGAGACTGGCTGCTCGTTCAGGCTGGGGTTTGACCAGCTTCGGTCGCTGGATGGGTCATCAGGCAGACCTGCGGTCGATCGGAAGGTGGCGTGCTCAGCTCCGCGTGCCGATGGCCAGGCGCGCAGTGACGTGCCGCGTTATCGGACCGGTCTTTGAGCCGGGGGCAGCGGTGGCTCCGTCGCAGCCGCGTGCCTTACACGGTGCGGGGGTGCGGCACATGGTGCATACTGCATGACATCACGGACTGGCCGTCTGTCTGCACTCTGACGAGGATGTGGGTTACGGTGGCATCGGGGCAGCAGACGGCCATAAAATGACATTGTCGCCAGTACAACAAATGACATCTGGCGAAACAATGCAACAATGCCTTATTCTGGACTAGTGGTGTCAATAACGGAAAATCGGAATACCGATACCAAACCAAATACCAACCAAAACCGTGGGGAAATACCGAAACCAAACCAACTTGGGAAAATGAGGAAAATACCAACTTTTTACCGATTTCTTAGCCTCTTATACATTAGTGAGGGTTCATGATACCAACAAAATACCAAACACATTACCATTGAAATACCAAATACCAAGTTGGTATCGGTTTGGTATCGGTATACCAAAAAGTTGGTATCCTATTGACATCTCTATTCTGGACAGCAGGCTAACGGATAACCTGCTGAATGACACAGCATGATAGCTAACTATTATTGTATTACGCATGTAAGACGGAGCTAATATAAAACCAACATCCTATGTTTAAAATAATGTTATCATTTGATAAATAATTCACAATATTGTTTAGATAATATGCGTTTTTCAACGTTGCGTAAGATAACGTTCGTTGGTCAAAATTCCGTTTCTGTCGTCTAAGCCTGACATTCAGAACTGGCGATAGTCACCAATACCATACAGGTATTCCTCGCACTTACCGCAGCATTCCGTGACAACTGAGCGCGTGTCACGTGACGCGGCACGGACGAAGCTCGCTCCTGAGTCACGGAGGAAGGTCGTCGTCTGGAACTGCCCGCTAGACGGTCCCCTCTGGACTCCCCCACCGACTCCGGTCGGCGCTGATTATGGATAAGTGGAGGCGACTGCGCCTCGCTGGTGTCCGCTCCGGAAATAGCAGTCAGCTGCCCGCCGCCGGCGCGGTCGTGGTGGGCAGGAGGGAGGTCCATTAGCGAGCGAATGAAGATTCACCCGCCTCCAGCTCAGCCAGGGTGCTCCCCTAACGGAGCAAATGAGCCTGATTTGTAACAAAGCATAGCTTCTGAATGCCAAGGTCTCGAGCAGAAAGTGGTGTTCATTTTCACTAAGCTTCTTCCTTAGGCCCTCTAAGCTTGAGCTCGTGCAAGTGAACCCTGCAAGCCGGATCCAGGACCGAGCCGAGCATTAGGCGGTCTTTCCCGCTCCATGTATGTCTCTGTCGGTGCAAATGTGCAGGGCCGGAGCCTGACGGCCGAGCCGTGCTGAACCGGTAACATGGCGGCTGCCGGCGGAACGGCCGGCAGTTCGGCCGACCTTGGCTGGCCGGCGGCGGCCTGTGAGTGCCCGCCTGCGAGCAGGGCTGCTCGGCCAGCCGGGTATACCGGACCGTTACCAGCCGGACTGCAGGGCCGGGCGGCGGACAGGGCCGGCCGGACGGTCGGTCCTGACCGCGCCCTCCCGCGGCTACCAGCCGGCGGCGGAGTCAGGACGTGGTGCTCGTTATGGCTGGATGGTCAGCGCAGCGGGCATCGCGGCTGGAGGTATTTTATCCATGACATGACGGAGACATAGGGAGGAAACAGGCATTGAGAACGTTGCATTGAAGATTAGGCAGTTATGAAGGGCTTCTGTTGAGTCTTTCGAAATAGTGAGCGGGCAGCTGGATTGCAGACCACTGGCAATGATGCAAAGGGAAGGCCTTGCCCTTGGTCGACCAGAGCCGAGCACGGATATGCGTGATGCTCCTCACTGCCGTCGCTAGAGCTGGGGATAGTGCCCCAGCACGCACGGCCCGAAGAGACCACACGCATCCGACCAGGCGGAAATACGTGCTCTATACGCTAAAAGTGCGTGCTCCGCTGCAAATACGCCGCTGCAGCATTCTTATTTGACAGGACGCAAACATGCCAATGACAGGTTTCCTACATCGAGCACATAACGTGAGCAGTGGGCAACAGATGATGTATTGATCATCCGGAAGGTACTGACGAATAGCTGCGGACGACAAATTGCTTATTACCGTAAGCAGCATGCCAGTTATACCTCCAGCCGGTTGGCGCTACTGAAAAACCTGGCTAATCTCCGCATTGGAATTGGATAGAAGGCTGACAGCACATTTGCGACCAGCATCGAGGCAAGGTAATATAAGTCACGCTCGTCGCCTAATCCATTTTTCCCGTGATAGGAAAATACCACGCGAGAGAGTGCCAGGTCAACTCTTTCTGCACAGCCACCCTGGCTCTCTGTTCTTCCTTACTGGTCAAATTGCCTGCACTGGACCAATTATCCCGTCTCGGTGACTGCTGTTCGGACGCCGGGACTGGTCGGTCGTGACACCAGCACGGTGACAAAGAACGGGTCGTCCTGCTCCGACCACTTCAGCGGGAGGGGACGTGAGCGAACGAGCACGGTCCGCTGGGCACGCCACTGGAGCGGCACTGCGCGCAGCCGGGGCGGGGGCGGGGGCGGCCAGCGTGACCAAGACGGCATCAAAACTGGGGATTCCACACAACGGCTCACTTCCTCAACTCTGGCGTCAGTGACTGAGAAAAGTAGCCAGCCTTCCAAGTCCGCTTGATGATGCAAGGCGTTGCGCAATGGCCATGCGGGTTAACCACATGACCGCCGCTGCGCCGCGCGCTGGAGTGCGCTGACTGCCGGTCTCGGCGTACTTTCGAGCACGGCGGGACCGTTTGCCGTCGAGAGGCAGGAAGTGGTTTGTGCGCGGAGCGAAGCGTGCTACCTGTCCCTCCGAGGCGCCCGGCTCACAGCCGAGGCGGCAGGCGGCGTGTAGAACTCGACGGCTTTTTACGCGGCCAAAAACTCTTTCACTAATCGCATAGTGCCTTCACCAGACGGCACTTTGGTCCCGCTAGCGATCTAAATAGCCTCGTCGGGTCAACGCTTGGGGAACAATGCGACCGTGCCGAACAGTTCGTTAGCGAGGTCGTCCGGCGACAGAAGGCGTGCGAGGAGTGCGGCGGATGCCAGCTGATTAATATGCCGCCGGGGGACTGGTGCGGCGCGAACGGCGCACTTGTATCCGCCGCCTCATGAGCTGGCGGTCGCGCTTCAGCAGGCGCCGTGCAGCTCCTTCCCCGCCTTCCATCTCGCTTCACTGGATGAGAGGTCACATCTTAGCTACACTCATCATAATAGAGCATCCCTGTAAAGTGCATTTAATCTCTCACGAGCACGACGTGCTCGAAGATCCGACTCATGAAGCGTGAACGGTTTGCAGGGAGGACTAACAATGTGCCATTTCTCCCGCACAGATGTCCCGTCGACTACGAGATCATGGGTCCGTTCAACTACAGCGAGACCAAGAACTCGGCGAAGGTGAACTTCCAGGCGCACAAGTTCCCGTACACTGCCTCAGTGTACTACCAATGCAACGTGCGACTCTGCCTCAAACACACGGGCGGCTGCGACGATGTGGTAAGTGATTACAACAGAAATCTAACAACATATACCTAAGCAAACGTTAGTAAATGCTTTTGAAATGTAGGTTCAATGCTGCATAAAAATCGTAATTACCATTAGCTTTTGAATACAACTGATAAGCATTTCAATAAAATGAGAGATTGCTGATAAAAGTAAAGAATTAGTTAACAATCCAGCTGACGTCTAAACGTGTCATGTTTCACCAGAAATAAACTATTTATTTTACTGTTCAATAGACAGGAATTGTGTCCCATGTTTCTTGTGCTTTACCTCCAAGCGTCTGACAGTGCATCTCTCCGGTTCTCCCCACATCTGACCGTCACCCGATCTCGTTCTCACCGTCCCCTTTCTCTCCCTCCCGCCAGCCCCCGGTGTGTGAGGACGGCACGAACCTGCGTCGTCGTCGACGGGCGGTGGAGAACGCCACCGTCACCGACCTGGAGACAGACGACGAGCCCGTCATCGAGGTGTTCCACGGACTCTACGTCAACGAGGGCGAGGAACTGCCCGAGGACGACCCCAACGGGCCGCTCTCCAGGGTACGTATAGCGCGGGTTCCATCCCGGATTATTAACCAGCACTGCACCACACCCGTCCGTTTCGCCTGACGTACTGACCCGTGCCGATCTGCACCCTGCCCGTACCGCTTCATTCCAACCGGTATCGACCTGTTGGTACTCAACAAAAGCTGACCTTACCGTTTTGCAATGATCTGTAGTCTGTACCATCCATGCCCTTCCTTACCGGTACGGTAACGCCTCACGCCGCCCCGTATCATGGCCCGGCCCGTGCCGTCATTATTTTGACCGATAAAGCTGTATCCGCGTGCCGTTGAATTATCGCCCCTTCCCAGCTACATGCTACGGTTTAATGATGGGCGTTGCATGAGGCGCTTTCATCGAGCAGGCATGCGTCCCATAAAATTGCTGACACCATGCGGTCGAGAGGGTAGGTTCCTTTTCCTATTTCAGGACATTGTTGATGTTTTTGTAGCGGCAATGTGCGCTCATCGAACGATGAAGGCGTATCCGTTTTTATCGTCCCAGACCGTATTTATGACCGACACATCTTTCATTGGAGGGGGCAAAAAACGCACTGCGTGGTGATCGTCGACCCGTATGCACTCACACACGCGAGCCTAATCATACGGCCACACTGAATAACGGTGATTTTACGCTCCGCTGAGAAAAGGTGCCCAGTTAGAGCTGCATAAAAGGCATCCTTTCGAACCTCTCTCAATAAATGCGTGGCTGAAGTGGTTGCTAGCTTGGAGCGATGTTTGATTGCTGTACCAGAACGGAGTGAGTTATTACGGGCTGATGTTCTCCGTGTCACGGTTTGTTTGAGTTCTTCACAGTGTGCTTGTGTGGTCGGCAGGACGACTTGGACGAGGACGACATCCTCTGTATTTCACCTCGGACGTTCGCCATCGCCATCGCCATCGTCGGCCTCCTGCTGATGATTGCCGTCGTCGTCGCCATCATGGTCATCATCAGTCGGCGGCGGCGACGCAAGGAGGCCTCTGCCGCCGGCAGTTCCATCTATTCTGGGCCGTACACCAACACCGCCTACTCGCACTCCAGCTAGGCACTGAGCCGACGGCGCTCGGAACAGAGAAACGAGTGGAGTAGGTGGCGCTGCGTGCCTGTGAAGCGCTGGACAGATCGCGCGCAGGTAGCGGACCGGGTCTGCCGGTCGCGAGGCATTTTGCGCTTCTGCCAAGAAGATTTTCTGCCTTGCGATCACTGGAAACGTGTCTCTTGAATAACGGAGCCCAGGACGAGCTGAGGGACCTCGCACACCGCGACCAGCCCAGTGACAGTGAACTGGATGATATGTGAACTGGCAGGCCGTTTGTGAGCAGCGCCGAGGTCGAACCCTCCGTGCCAGTATCTGCCGCGCTGGGCCGCGAGCTGCTGCTATCACCACTGTCTGCTGTTTTTACCGAGTCAGTGTTTCACGTCCTCTCAGCTCGCTCGTGTACTGCCGCCTGGGCTCCCTCGTTCTCGAGACGCGGCTGTTGGTAGCGGTTTGTGTCCCGTACGCCGACACTGCCCTCTGTTGGTGGATGTGGCAAAGCACGTCGGGGCACTGCCGGTACCTCCTCATAAACAATTCTCAATGGGTGGAGTGTCTGATCAGGCATTACTGCCTGTATTGAATGTGTGTGTGAGGCTAGATGATTGTCTGAGTTATGTACGACGTGTGTTCTACGGCGTTCCGTGTATGTTTTGTAGCGAAGGTGATAAACAAGAGGCTGCAGTATGTTGCCTCTGTTCTCTGTATCTCATTACCCCGCCACAATTCCTCTGCCGTTTACGTGCTAGTTTGTTGAGAGTCTTTGTGTGGATGAAGCGGACGTGCGTCTTATGCCAGTGCAGTTATTGCAATGTGTACGCCAAACGATGGGCATCGAAGGGGTAACCATTCCCCGATCTATTTAGTGTGTCACTGTAGATATTCATTTGCTAATGTTGAAATAAATACTGTAAGGTTTCATATAATTTGTATGACATCAGTCACCAGCCGCGGTATGGGGAAATACCAATAGGAGGTTAGTTGCGTTAGTTGTTCGTGTTTTTTCGGTTTAACGAAAGCATTCGACCGAAAGCAAGAAAGATTCGACCGAAAGCATTGGGCAATCCCCCAATGTGAATCGTCGCAGTGGCTGAGCCCATCCTAATGGAACGTGACTCGAGAGAGGCCCAGCGAGACAAGCTACTCAGCTACTCGGTCGTTCCAGAAGCAGGTGCTCTCAGTTTGCTCTCCTTCACAGGTGTCTGGGCAGAGGGCGACCGTCAGTCCCGATACATTAGTGCGAACAAGGATGCATAACTTATGTTAGTAGGGCTATATGTACCCAAAATTACTATATGTACCTATCAAGACTTGCACTTTCGGTCTAGCGAAACCTGTGTATGTATAAGGGGCGAAAGGATTTTAGGAATTAGGGGGAAGCCATTATTGGTCTGGTCAGCCATCCTCATGGTGCGTCACCGGGGCTGAGCCCGACACAGTGCACATTGGACAATGGACAGGCTTCCCAGCCCCGCTAACGGTCACCCCAACGCACGTCAGCCTGATCCTGAGGAGCTTTTTTGTTTTGTTTGGTTAGGCTCTTTCGGTCTGACGAGACCATTTCAAAGCCGGGAGGATGTTAAGAAATAGGAGGAGACATTGGTGGCTGGGCGGGCACCCTGGTGACCCGTCGGGGCTGAGAGCCAAGCATGTGGGCGGACCACCCAGCCCCCAGACGGCCACAGAGGCGGATCCAGCTCAGAGTTTTTTTTTTGGGTCCACGTCAAAACAGCTAGTGACTATTGAGCTAGTGACTTTTGAGCTAGTACAAAAGAGCTAGTGCTTCAAAACAGCTAGTGACAACACAGCTAGCGCCAAAATAGCTAGTAATGCAAAATAGCTAGTGCATTAAATCAGCTAGTGACTAAACAGCTAGCTTCAATATAGCTAGTAGAGCAAAATAGCTAGTGCTTCATTATAGCTAGTCATAAGCGTAGGAACCATGGGTGCAGTGGGTGCAGTTGCACCCACAATAATTCTCCAGTGGGTGCAGACAATGTATTCTGCACCCACAATAATCTGGAACAAAAACCCATTTTCTCATCAACACTTCTTCCCATGCAGCACAACAAATTCAGGATATTTTGCCCACTTTCCACCTTTAGAAGCGTTTGCTACTGTGATGGTCTTCAAAACTTACATTTGCGCTCAAGTAAAAAAGGAAGCAACGGAACACATGTGATTGAACACATACCGATGACCGCACTGTCAAAAGTTTTAGCCCGATACCTATCTTCGAAAATGGCTAAGTTAGCCGCATTTAGGTACTTTTTGCGATTGTCAATATTGACATTATCAACGCTTCTAAATACACTTATCATCGGTAGGTACCTTTTCAACATGGTACACCCTAAAAGCTCACAAGGAGCCTCCGCTCGGGTGCCGCTCCCTACCCCCTTCCCCCCCCCCCCGGGCTTCACCGGCCATGGCTGGATTTCTGCACGTGTGCACCAACAATGTTCCAGCCGTTCCTACGCCCATGTAGCTATAGAAATCGCTAGCGTCGACTAATAGCTAATAAGCAAAATAGCTTATTCGTAGAGCAGCTATTATAGATTCTTTCCCGACGAAGAGTCCCCACGGGTTGGGGTAGAAGGAGCAGAAGAGCACCGTAGTTTGACAAAATTATTTGGAATGCTAGGAGGGCAGAGGACGGGATCCCTAGGACAAACAACAAATTAGAAGCGGGGCACCGGGGAATTAAAGAGATGGCATATCGCGGGAAATACATCTTTACAGTCATAGATATCTTGCAATTTTTGAAGCGAAGTGAATGGGAAGGGAACAGAGGTCCACCGAAATTGCTATTTTGACGATAGCTATTTCGTCACTAGCTGTCTTGAGGCACTAGCTCTTTATGCTTCACTAGCTACTTTGACGCTAGCTCTTTTGTCACTAGCTGTTTCTAAGCACTAGCTATTTTGCTTCACTAGCTATTTTGACGCTAGCTGTTTTGTCACTAGCTGTTTTGAGGCACTAGCTGTTTTGTACTAGTTCAAAAGTCACTAGCTCAAATGTCACTAGCTATTCTGACGTGCACCCGTTTTTTTTGGGGGGGGGCAAACCATAACAATTTATCGATTCTTTCCATGCATCGTCCATAGGCGTAATGTTAAAATCATGCCGTTTGGGGGGGGGGGCAAATGCCCATTTTGCCCCCCCCCCCCTGGATCCGCCACTGGACGGCCACTACACACGGTCATGGGCCTGCTCGTGGGGTGAAGCTACCCACCCATGCGGTATGAAGGTGACCGTCCAGCCCGGAACAGGGGGTATGTAGGCGTGGAGGAGATTTCGACTATCCTGAGGATGGAATCGATTGGACGGAGGTCCTGAGAAGCTATTCACGTCGGATGAAGATGACCGTCCAGCCCGGATCAGAGATTAGAGGCATGGAGGAGATGGAGAAGGATTTGACCATCCAGACTCCTGCGGATGAAAAAGGTGGAGCGGTTCCCTCAATTTTGCTGCACCTTTACATACGGGTTCAAAACTAAGTATGTTTTATCAATGCGCAATGCCAATATTTCTAGACCATAGACCATAATGCAGCGTCTACTGCGGATGCCTCTCGTTGCACCAAACAACGTATGCCTACAGATGGCGCCACATTTGCAGGCTGGGTCACCAAAATGTACCAGATGCTGCTGCACTGCCTGGCTAGCTGCGGCATGCAGATGGCGCCATGTTCGCTCATTGAAGTCTCCAAGGATAGGATAATGCTGGGCTGCAGATGGCGCTGTGTCATTACTAGTATTTAACGGCAGCTCTGGGCAGGCCCGTCAAGGCATCCCATATTCAGCCCGGATTCAGCCCAGATTCGGAACGCCTCGGATGCACTTGAAAGTGGCACACAACATAACCCTTGCAGTGTGGAATACGTGACTCATTTTTTGTGTCAATATTTGCCGTTTGACATAAAGGTACATACGAGCTCAACAAAGGACAATGATCAAAAAATTTGCACAGCAGATGTGGCCCACCCGGTGAAGCCAGAGTGCTGAACAACGGGCACCAACGGCGACTCGCCAGGACCTGGATCTACTTTACCATTATCGATAAGGGTCACGCGCTGACCTTAGGCCATTGGGGTCGGGTAGAAAACCTTTGCACAACAGCATTAGCGCATAGTGTATTACAGCATGTAGTATAATAAATGTAATTCATTACACCACGGTAAAACGTTTCAATGAGGATGCTATCCAGCCCTCATCTAGGTGGGGTGTCAGCGAGAGAACTTCCCGATTGGCTCGTAACCTTAGTATATTCTTAAATATCTGAGTTTATTAAGTTAAACTTCAGCAACGCGGAAGCACAATCGCAATGAATCGATGCAAATCAAGCATAACGGGTCAAGGTTATGGTATAATAAAAAGGTCCCAAAAGACTGCAAGTCATGTTCAATCAAATAGTCGACATAGTAGAACATGCGCTATAAAGTCAAACAGCTGAAATCAGGGCTAGCACACAATAAAAACTCGGAGCATCAAACACTGGAACATCCAAGATGAGAAGGCATGTGTCTCTGCGCTAGTGCGCTCATGTAAGGCACGCTGCCTTCCACCCGAAGATGTGTCCAAACAAGGCCAAACCCGCTATGACGGAGGGTTTCTTTGCCTGCGTTGTAATGCAGATGAGCGCTTTAACCGATCAGCTCATTTCTGGCGAACTATCGCACACAGCATCTGCATGCGTGCTTTCTGCGTTTGTTGCATGGGTGCCAATCAACACTGATTAGTGATCACGTACCTTTGAAACAAAGAGTTTGCTTTGTTTCTCTGAAAATGGACAGTGGGCACACTTCAATTATGCAACGACCTATGCCTACAATATTTCCTTCTTCCTTTATAACCCCCTATCCTATATCCACGAATCAATTAATTTTATGCTGTCGCGCAACTATATACAAATGCATACAACTGTCCTGTGATCAGTCACATTCGATTATTAGGAATGTCAATGTTCACATTAGCATCTAATGTCCACAGTCGCTAAACTTGTACAATATGTAAATTAATGTGCATTAGGCTAGGCAACACATACCCATTGGTCATATAGGCATTATTTCATAGGCCTTACGTGACGGTCATTTGCACTGGTCACCTGATCTGTGGGCTGCAACATTCCGGTCATCAATCCCACACCACGTGACAGGGCCCACGCTGACACGGAGAAACCACGTGATGTATCTCACGGCACACCGCCAGTCCAGAGAAGAGCGCCAGGTATGTCCGCTGCACGGTCGTCCCCGGAAATTCCATCAGCTCACCCGGCCGGAGAGCGAACTTCCCCGGGGTGAGAAAGGTCGCAACATCTCAAGGCCGTCACGCACAGTAGCGTTAGCACGTTCAGTCAGACACCCCTGACATTAGGACATCTTGGCTCGCGGTGATTCATGCAAACTGTTTCGGGAAACACATTTGGGTGAGTACTTGGCTGGCTGTGGATGAGAGCAGCACGAGTTGGATGGATGTGAAGCAACTTCTCCTCCTAGCTAGAAGCCGTCATCAGCGGGCTTGGTGTGAATTAGAATTAGTCCAAACCTGAAGGTCAGTTATATGGTAAGTGGGAAAAGAAGCACCTTGCCATGCTACAACTCCCGGCACCACTACATCCCTGCACTGTCATACGACACCGTCAATCACCTGACGCAACAACACAAGTGACACCAAGTTCGCATTCAGAGCCTCTGTCATAGCCTCTGTCAGCTTACACAGAAACTGTCACATGACTCTGCAGTCAGCTGACACAGTTTTTGTCACATGACGCAAGCCAGGTCGACCGAGGTCGGGTCAGTGCCCGGCTCAGTTAGAAGACGCCCCATGAGCTCCAATGGGTGGCATGGATTGCAAAACTGACCGCATTCGGGTCCCAAAGTCAATGGAACCCCAACCGGTTCTTACATTGCAGGAGTACGATAT